GTTCATTCTCATTAACTACCAGATATGGGATAAATGATATAGATGGATGGAGGAAAGAAACAAGGATAAATTTAAATCTCTTGGATGCATATATATGTGTTCATTCTCATTAACTACCAGATATGGGCTTTATTGGCTTCCTTCCTTCATTTATTTATTTATTTATTAGACACATTTATATGCCGCCCAATTCCGAAGGACTCCGGGCGGCTTACAAAAATAAAGAGAAAAAACACATTTATCCTTGTTTCTTTCCTCCATCCACCTATATCATTTATCCCATATCTGGTAGTATTCTATTTCTTCTTTTCCCTGGATTTCTTTTGTTAATTTATCCATTTTCACACAGTCCATCACCTTTCTTATTATTTCATCTTCGCTTGGAATTAATTTGCTTTTCCATTTTTGAGCGAAGGCAATCCTCACCACTGTAATTGTATGTAAAATTAAATACTGAATTTCTTTTTTATATTTTGCAGTCATTATTCTTAGTAAAAAAACCTTTGAATTTCCAATCTATTTTGTCTCCTGTTATTGCCTCTAGCCAATTTTTGATCCTTTTCCAAAAATTTTTTAGCCATCTCACAAATCCAACATAAGTGGTAATATGTTCCGTGTATTGATTCACATTGCCAACATTTTGGGATTTTGAGATTTAGCTAACCTTGTTGGTGCCAGGTGCCATCTATAAAACATTTTGTATTGGTTTTCCTTGTATGCAACTGATAATGTCATTTTTAAGTTTGTTCCCCAAAATTTTCCCCATTTGTCTAGTTCAATATTATAGCCAAAGTTCTGTGCCCATTTTATCATTTGTTCTTTCACGATTTTTTCTTCCAGTTTATACTTCAGGAGAAATTTATATATTCTCTCTATCAACTTTCTATCTGAGCTTTGAATTATTTTATCCAATTCGTGTGGTTCCATTTCAATACCATATAATTTAGTATCATTATTGTGTTTAGTTTTGATTTGCAAGTAGGTTAGTCATGTTTTTTTCTGCCAATTCTTCAATTGTTTTTAAACTTCCCTGTCCGTTAATTAAGTCCCTGTATCTTAGCATTTTGTTCATATCTATAAAATTTGGATGGATCGTCCTTTCGGTCGGGGATAGTCAGTTCGGGATTTTCACATAATGGATTTTTTAAAAGTTTGAGCCAGTTTTGCAATAGCGCTTTTCTAATTAGATGTTTTTGAAAGTGTGTGTTTATTTTTATCATCCCATAGGAATGTGTGCCAACCTGCTTGCAAATCATTGCCTTCTAAGATCAGAATTCTTTTATTCTTTAGCTCTATCCAATCATTCACCCATGTTATTGTTACTGCTAATGTNTGGTATTTAAGATAGTAATAAAAGCATAAATCTCACAGGAGTGGGACCCGCCCGTATTAACCTAGCTTGAAAAAAACTTTGCTTTGTCCTGGGGGAAACGTTTTTGATCAGTGTGCGCTACCTACTCAGACATATGTCAGTGAAGTATGACACTAAACTCACAATCAATATAAAATGTAAGAGTAGCGCAAAGACCCATGGAAAAATACATGTTAAATATTACAAAACAAGATAGAAAGACCTACACATGGATTAGGGAACAAACAAAAGCATACAGTATTATCAAGAGAATAAAAGAATTGAAATGAAAATTAGCTGATCACATAGCAAGGACTGATGGCAGGTGAACCAACGCAGTCATAGAATGGATCCCACTTGATAAAAAGCATCCATGAAAGAGATATAAAACAAGATGAATCAACAACATCAGCAAGTATTGTAGGCCTAATTGGCAAAAGAAAGCTTAGGACAGGTTGAAAACAACTCTTCATCCTGCAGTGGATAAACAATGGCTAAAATGATGGTGTTGACTTAGAAACTGTTCAAAGTTATGACAGACACTCCCCACAAAGGTACTTATGACTACCACACCAAACCCCTGTGTGGTCACATGATGGCATTTCAAGTCTGCTATTTATGGCTGCTTGCAGCCTTTCAGAGTTAGTAATAAGGATATAAACTTGTTGGTTTTAGTAGAAACATTTGTTTTCTATAACACACATATATTATGCCTTGTATTTGTAAGATATCTGGCAAATGTCAAATCCTTGCCATTTGAACTCTTATCAATCTGCAATCTATGGGCATAGAACTTATCCCAGAATGCAGCTGTAAAGAGCTGTAAAACTGATACCTTTGATATGTCCCCCTTCTGCCTAAGAACATATCTCACCTTTGATCTGTGCCCTTCACAACAGGGGGCCAAATGGCCAATTGTGAGAACAGAGGAAAGAGATAATGCTGATAAGGCTAGTGAGGAGTATTGTAAAGCCAGGATGTTATTTGATGTTTCTGATACCTTCTCTGAAGTGTAGTTCTTCCCTGCATATCCTTGGATATGTTGGGAACAACTGACCATCATGTCTTTAAACTTTGGTCAAAGATGAAATGCTGATTGTTATTCAAGCCTCCATTTTAAGTCTCATGTTTGGCTCATTGGGATTTGGATGTATTCTCAGACTTCTATGGGTCTCAACATATTCTCAAACCTTACAACTGTTTACATCCCTTAGCGAACAAAGGGTTTATTTAACAAACACCGTGTTTGCTTATCAGCTGTAGGTTCACTTAATGACCATGGTAATTTGCTTAATGATAACTGCAAAAAAAGTTGTAAAATCATATCTATCACCTGATGACCTGCTTATGATTGTTATGGCTTACTACTGTAATGCACAAGCTCAATTATACTAGTAATTGGAGGACTATCTATGCACAAATCCATAGGCAACTGCAGAGTAACTGCAGGTAACTAACTTTCTGAGTGGCAAATATGTACTAGGCAGTGCTGTGCTGTGTTATTTTGGAACAGATCCAGTCATTGGTCATAAGACTACCAGCAGCAAGCAGTCTCAAACATGTTTAAGGAAGCAGACCTATTAACCAGTCAAAATGACCTATTTAAGTGTTGTAGACTTCCAAGATGCTAGAGTGAGGCATATTAAGAACTGTTTGCCTATGGATTTCAAATGATTGATTCTTGTTTAACTGTTAAGTTCTTGTATTAATGCCTCCACAAACAGGCATTCTTCTGAAAGCACAGTTTGGTTCATCATAATATACTGAATTAGAATAGTCTGGTGCCATGGAATTTTAAGAAATAAGATATCTCCATATAAAACAGCAGCTAAATTCACACAGGATTCAAATTTAGACTATATAATAATGTAACTGTAAAGCAACTTGTTAACTGAAACCTGAACAATCTTATAAGAATTAAAATTTATTTCATGTTGTATACATGTGTTTACACACACGTGTGTAAACAAAATGTATCATGTTTGAAAACCACGAACATTCACTGTGTGATGGAAAAGTTATTTCAAAACTAAAAAGTTTATTAGAATAACAGATCTAGGAGAAAAACTAAGTTAATTCCTTTGTGATATGATAAGAGAAGCTCTATTAATACAAAAATACTGAAGTTTGTTTCTATTGTATAAAATATGTTAGAAAAATGAAAACTTGGGAAATCTGCCCATAAGAACAAAGACAACCAACTTTTCCTATTATTTTATAGAATCTGCCTGTCTATCTGTCTAGTTACCTGTTCATTTGTAATCTTTCTTCAGAGATAATACTAACGAGAATCAGATTCTGTAGGGGTTTGTTGTGATGCTCAACTATAATCATCTTACCTGACTACTGGAGTCTCCAGACAAAAGACATAAGTGTGGTACCAGTTTGCTGAGAATTAGTGAGTGTGCACCATAACTAAGAAAACAAAACAAAACAAAAATGCAGCAAGATTATTTTTCCCCTCACATGTAACAAATCAATAACATCAACCAATACTACTGCTATTATCTAATTATTGAAACCTTATATCTGGAAACATGAGGAATGGAGTAGTAAAAATCTTGTTTTCAATTTAGAATCTTAAAATAGTACAAAATTTAAGAAAATGTCCCACCATTAACATAATTTAAGAACTTTTTAATAAAATTAAAATACATACACATTTAATGTTGCAACAAGACACAGACACACGCCTTCTCGTGAACGATAGTTCTTGTGTTTAAAGCCAGCAGCAAGCCGCTCCCAAATGAACTATTAAAAAATAAAAGATAATGGATATTTAACACTAAACACATAGTAGCTATTATACATTAACATCTTTTTATAAATATCTGAATAAAATAATTGTAGTTGAAAATATAAATGTTTCCTCTTAATTTTTCTTTGTTAAACTAAATCTTCTCATTGTAGTTTCCATGCACTATTCAGAAGAGTTCTGAATTTTGTTACAATAGATTTTTGTTACAATAGATTTTTGTTACAATAGATTTTTAACAACTTGATATATTTATTGTACACATTTATGCTCCTATTTCTGTCCACTGTCTAATTTCATTGCTTCAGTGAGCTTGTGTGACGATCTCTGAACCATTTTATAATAAATCATTTGATCTACGTGTATTTACTTGCATCTATTTTTCCACCATTAATCTGCCCTTATTCCTTTCTTATTTTTATTGTTATGATTCTGGACTTCCTAGGAGCTTTGCTGTATCATGGCAGCTAATGCTGTAAACATGAAGCTTACAAGACTAGGTTGCTTTGAAATATCACTGCAATTTTTTAAAAACTACTACTCCCTTTAGTTGCAATGCTGCCATTATACTCTCTGCTGTTCAGCATTCAGAAGAAAAAGGTTGCCTAGCAACTGCTACACAGTGAGCAATAGCACATTTCTTAGACTGCAGCATTTTATGACTTAGATCCTCTCAATATTTAAATCATGCTGAAACAGAAACACAGTCTTTCATGTATACTCGGACTAAATTAGTCTGTATTGCTTTTAATTTTTAAAATATGTTTTTAAAATAAATACAGATAGAGTACTATTATCTGTGTATATATTCCAAAATAACTTCAGTGCTCAGCATTCCAGATATTCTTCTAACTAAACTAAATCAGCTATCTGAACACACTTGTAAATGGATCATAAGCCCCACTGTGTGCTCTCTCCACTTCTCCCAATACATGAATGACTGCATCTCAAAAGATCCCTCTGTTAAAGTATTGAAGTTTGCAGATGATACAACAGTGATTGGTCTCATTCGAGACAATGACAAATCTACATACAGATGGGAGGTTGAACAACTAGCCTTGTGGTGCAACCAGAACAATCTTGAAATAAGCACACTCAAAACAGTAGAAATGGTGATAGATTTTAGGAGAAACTCTCCTATACTACCATCTCTTACCATACTGGACAACACCGTATCAACAGTAGAGACCTTCTAGTTTCTAGGTTCTATCTTATCTCAAGACTTAAAATGAACACTTAACATCAAAAAGTCATCAAAAAAGCACAGCAAAGAATATTCTTTCTGCACCAACTCAGAAAGCTCAAACTGCCCAAAGAGCTGCTGATTCAGTTCTATAGAGGAATTATTGAGTCTATCATCTGCACCTCTATAACTGTCTATAACTGGAGTAGCCTGGACAAGGCATCAGCCATAAAGTTCCTTCCCCCCAGAGAGGTATTTCAGACAGACACAGACTTGAACAGAAAATTAGAACTGCAAAAATATAAATTGTTACCAACCTGCCTTCCATTGAGGACCTGTATAGTGCAGGAGTCAATATCCAAGAAAGAAAACCCCCAACTCCATTTAATTAGAGAAAAGGTACTTTTACTGGACATGAAAACAGCGAAAGCGAAGCAGGATCTGAAGCAAAAAAAGTGCAAACTTGCACATATCAAACGTTTACCCAAATCCCTCCCCACAGTTACCCCAATCCAATGTCCAATCTCCAGTTTCCAAAGTTGTCATGTAGGACACATCTTTGAGTGGCCTCATTCAGTTGGTTTGCAGAGACAATTGGCTTTGACCAAACCCAAACATGAACCATCACCATGCGCAGAAAATGGTGAGAATGAACCTCCCTTCTTGAGATATCTCCACCTGCATTCCCTCCCCCAAATACCATGAGCTTCCACCCTCCCCATTACTATGGTAGCTGATAGCAAGCATGCAAGGTAGAGGCTGACATTCAGCCCTCCTGCAGAAAGGATGTCATCCCTAGAGGAAAACATTAAAAAAACAGTAATAACCAAACATTTATATGACACAATTAGGATTTATTGGGGTATTTAGAATGAAACTTTTGCAAGAGTTTAGGGGGCCTGACATCGGACTTATTCACCCACTCAGAATGGGAAGGAAGGGAATGTTTTCAGGCCACTAGATACTGTATTTTCCCTCTATGTTTCCTGGAATCCAGGGTCTCCTTGACCTCAAAATGTTGTTCTCCTTCAATAAGGAGAGGAACAGGAGGAGGCAGGTGGGGTGAATGCATGAAAGAAGTATGCTCCAGTTTCAGTAAACTAACATGGAATACAGGATGGATTCTCCTAAGAGTTTTTGGCAATTCCAACTGCACCATTACTGGGTTTACAATTCTAACAATGGGGAAAGGAGCCACGTATTTAGGACCAAGTTTCTTTGATTTTTGGGTAGTCTAAAGATACAGTGGACAAGAAAACTCTATCTTCAACCTGCTTTCAGCTTCACCCTTTTTTATCCATTTGTTTTTATGTGCTTGGTGAGCCTCGTCTAATGCTCTATGAGTTACAGGTCAGAAAATTTGTAACTGACTAACCCATTCGGATAAAGATAGGTTTTCTGGTTTCTCCTGGGGCAATTCAGGAATAGGCACAAAATCCTGGCCAAACACTACTTTGAAAGGGGTCAATCCTCTACTGCTATGTACAGAATTATTATATCTTTGCATAAGGCAAGAGGCCAGCCCAATTATCTTGCTGACAATTGACATAGCACCTATGATATTGTTATAGAACAGTTAGCACTTTCACAAGCCCCATTTGTCTCCAGATGGTGGGCAGAGCTTAGACCTTGGATGGAGCCTATCAACTTTAGGAACTCCCTCCAAAAGTTGGAGATGAATTGGACCCCCCTATCTGAGATAATGCATTCAGAAACTCCGTGTAACCTATACACATGTAGGATAAACAGTTTAGCAAGTGTTTTTGCAAGCGGAATCTTGGAGCAAGGCACAAAATGCACTTGTTTGGAGAACAAGTCCATGATCAACCAAAAGACGGTATTTTCAATACTCTCTGGCAGCTCAACAATAAAGTCCATTGATATCTCCTTCCAAGGGGCACTAGATCTGGAGACATTTTGGAGTAGTCCTTGAGGTTTACCTGGTGGTCTCTTTGCCGCAGCACAAACAGGACAACTAACAATGTTGGATTCTATGTCTTTTTTCAGAAAAGGCCATCTAAATTGTCCAAATGTAAGGTTAACCAAATGTAAGGTTTTCATGAAAACAAAATGTCCAGCCACTTTTGAATCATGGGCTTGTTGGAGGACAACACTTTTTAAACTAGCAGATTCATACAGCTTGGCTCCATCTCATGCAAGGCCCTCCTGCATAGTGCACTCACTTTAGAGGAACTTGAACCATTCATCAGATATAAGTGCCTCCCTCAGTCACTTTGTTAGGTCAGTGGGCACATCTAGGTCCACTTTCCCTTGGCTTCTGGTGACCACTGGGGCTGCTAGTTGTTTGGCAGAAATGACCAGCTGAATCACCACCAATCTGGCACTGTTGTACTGGAGTAGCCTGGACAAGGCATCAGCCATAAAGTTCCTTCCCCCCAGAGAGGTATTTCAGCAGAAAGTTAAACCAGTTAAAATGTTGTGCCCAGCGAACTTGTTTGGGTGACAGTTTTCGTGGGGTTTTTAACATCTCAAGGTTCTTATGATCAGTCCACACATCAAATGGGTGCTTGGCCCTCTCAAGAAAATGTTGCCAAGTTAGCAGGGCCCACAGGACTGCAAAAGCTTTCTTTTCCCAAACCGCCCATCTTCTTTCTGCCTCCATCAATTTCGGGAGGTGTAGGCACAACCTTGTAGGTTCCCATTTGCATGTTTGAAGTAACACTGCCAACTGCCATGTCACTTGCATCCACTTGGACCACAAATGGTGCATCTATGAGAAGACTGGAAGTACCTCAGCAAGACAGACAGAAAACTGTGGGCTCTGAAGAGCCTTATGTAAATTCTGGCTGACAAACCAAATGCAGGGGATCTTTTTCCTGTAGGAAAAGTGAAGGAGCTGTGTTTCATTAGACCCAGAGGAACGCAACAAGTTTCTGGTAGGTCAGAGTTTAGTTCTCTGAATCGGTGTTGGGGGAGGTAGCATGGCTGCTGTCAAGCTGAAACTTCTGGACTAAGCATCTGAGCAGAAGCAGTGTATGGGAGGAATGCCGAAACCTGGTAAGAAGATTTAAATAACCAACTGACACAAATCAGAATTTGGAAAAGGCAAAGAATCTTGTGAGTAGAAAATATTAATGGATAGATTGGGATTTTGGCAGAAAGAAAAGAAATAAGGAAAAAAATTGTGGTTTAAATCATTAAGCCCAAAGAGAACTGCTTGTTTTAAACAACTTGGAGACAGAAATGAGAGAACTGACAACTGACTAACCCATTGAGATACAAACTTTGAATTTGGATCTGAAAATACTATGTCTTTAAAAGAGATTAATTGACAATTGAAAACATCACAAAGGGAAAGAAAGAGAGGGGAACTGAAGCTAAAAATATACCAAGGAGACTCACTTTGTTCGAGCTTGTTCTAATTTACATCTCTTAAGCTTAATAAGAAGGAAAATAAAGAAAAAGCACTATTTTCTCTGTTCATAACTCTATCTTTCTGGACTTAAAAATACAAGTTGTATTGCTGAAAAATTATCGAGTTGAAAGAATATAGAGCCATTTGCCAGAGGGAAGAACAAAGAAAGCGAAGTGATTAAGATGTCTCCTCCTTCTCTTCCTCTCCATTTCAGCTGGAATAGAAGCCGGATCAGAATTGGGAAATAAGAAGAAACCGTGGAACTTAAATTATAATTAACTGTAATTTCTGAACTGGACAATATGAAAAGTTGGGAATTTGAAGAAATACGTGCAATTATAAAAAATATACATGAGTCATTAAAATTAAATAGAATTCTGAAGTTAGAAATTAAGGAAAGGCAGGAAATCAGGGAAGAAGAAGGGGAGGGTAGTGAA